AAGAATCGAAGAAAGAATTGAAACGTCATTTTGCGAGCAATCATCGAGCTGCCAGCCAGTGGAGTGAGAGAGAAAGAGAGAGAGAGAGAGGGAAAGAGAGAGAGAGAGAGAGAGAGAGAGAGAGATCCCGCCAGTGCAGATCCCCGACAGATAAATTAGCAATTTAATTATAGAACTGTCAGGCGGTAATTAAATTAATAACGAGAAACCTCGAATCCAATCCGATCCGTCCTGGCAACCTTTCGCGCGCGTTCACTCTCGAGAGGTAGAAAGAGTAGAATAGTAGTCCATGCGTGGATATGAATGTAGAAACTTGGAGGGAACCAACCAACCAACCAACCGGCCGGCCAGCTACGGGTCGTTTCAAAAGTACCTTCATACCAACCTGTTACACTCGATGATGGCTAAAACCAGAGATTAAAACGACAATCAGATGTTGTTCTGCTTCTTCTGTCCCTTTCCTTCCCTTTCCTTTCCTTGATTTAACTTGACTCGACTCGACTCAACTTGACTTTTTCTTTTTCTTTTCTCTTTTGTATATATTTCATAAATTTTTCTTTTATTCTTTCTCGTGTCTCCTCTCTCTCTCTCTCTCTCTCTCTCCCTCCTCATTCTCCCTTTTTTCCCCGTTCCTCTGTGGTGTCCGGCAAGGAGGACGGACGATAATCTCGCGATCGAATATGGCGATAGGAACGTTCGACGAAGTTACGATCGAGTTTGAGGGAGAGAAAAATCATCGAGTGAGCCCCTTGAGTTAACGCTAATTGCGTATTTGAGATTTCAGGCTCGGAGGGATACGAGTTTCGTGCACGTATTCACTTAGGCGATAATAAATTATGGGGTTAATGGATTCGCTTCAGGGTTGGGCCGTGGAAGTAGCGCGCGTCGTGATTGTATGTATGTGTGTGTATGGGTGTATGCGTGTGGGTGATAAAGACTCTCGTTTAAACTTTTTCACCGTAATTTTTGTGGAGTTTTATTGACGGTACTAAAGCTTGTAGTTACGTTGAGGTGTATGGGGCCGATTGAAAAAAATTAATAAAAACGAGAAAGAGAGAGAGAGAGAGGGAGAGAGAAGAGAAAACAAGAATTTATACACAAAGAAATGATACTGCAATTTAATTGTCCCCCGTAAAAAAAAAAAAGAGGAGGGAGGTAACAATTATTATAATCAATTAATTTATCCGAATTTCGAATCGATATAACGAGACAAATTATTAATGCCTGAGAGACTACTTTATAAAACGAAAAAGAAAAACAAAAAATAAATAAAAAATATAATGTATATTATAGTCTAAAAAGAGGTAATATAAGTTCAACGTACCGCGTTCGAAATCCAAAAGTAAACTGACTCCGTTTGTCATCTACGAAAGTCGCGATAACATAAATTTTCTTTTATTGATTATTATTTATATTACTTTCCTAAGATTATAATTCTATGTATACTCGGACTTAGAGAGTATACATATCGATTTAGAAGAAATCAAATATAAAACGATAGTACATTCCAATAGATATAAATGTCTATATAACCATTGGAATTTCTTGAATAATGATAGCCATTAATGTAGGAAATGAAAAGGTTTCTTCATCTAACTTAATGAAAAGGAGAAAAGATGATGATAATGATGATGATGATGATGCGTTGGTACGTGGTGGTGGAACACCGTTCGATTCGAAAACGTGTGCGTTCCCTTCGAATCTTGATTCGACATATCCGCGTATCGTTACATAGCTAATTGCTGCATAAACATCGGGCTTTACGAGGCCTCGCTATGCGCTCGGCAACCGCACCGCAAACATTGACTGCCATTAACTTGGACGCGAAAGAGAAAGAGAGAGAGAGAGAGAGAGTCCATAGAAAGG